TTTTCCAACCTGAATTGTTCTATGATTCCTCAGTAGTCCTATGAAAATAGTAACTTCAGTGTCTACTTAAAACACTGGTCTGGATGTATTTTTTCATTAGCTTATATGATGCATTTATTTAATGTTCTTGTTACTGCTCAGTCTCATCAGTACACACTTCTCTACACATGTTGTCATATCAAGAGTGTAGCTATTTGCCATGGTTAAGGAGGAGAGATCTCAACATAGAATTTTTTGCAGATGAAATAGACGCTTTGCAGGATTGATCTGTCTTGTTACCTATGTTCTACAATGACCCTAACTATTTTTTGTTGAGCTGCCTGTTGCTCTTTCTGCAAGTTTATTAGGAGTGTTAGCTGCAGTCTCCTGTTGAAATTCTACTTTCAGTGATGGCTTTCTTCTTATCCCAGATTAGCTTTTGCATTTCTTTTGCCCTGCTGTCTCAGAGGTGGCATAGGGTTGCAATGTGCCACTAATAATTTGCCACTTTTAGTGGTAAATTAAATTCTGAATTTATATTAACATAGCAGTTAAAATTTGTGAGGAAATGCTTCTGGCTGAAATTTGCCTTATAAACGTATGTGGGGTTACAGTGACTATATAAAGAAGCTGTGCCAAAGAACAACCTTCATTTACTCTGTTGCAAACTATAGACAATTAACTTTGTATCTCTGACCTCTGATTTAAATGATCCTTCATCTAGATGATTTCTATTCATGTTGCTTCAGGCAGCAGATTAAATTCATGTTTCTAGGAAAGATGATGGCTATTACTGCACAGCATATCCGGATCTCGGAGGATATGCGCAAGTTATAAAGTACTGAGATGCGTAGTGTAAGTGGCTCGTGGGGGAAGAACCAGTTTCTCTCCTTGATGATGATTACTTCCATAGGTATTTGGCTGCTACCTTTTAATATTTCCTTTTTCTTTAATTCCTCAGCTAATTCTGGTTCCTTGCAAGGCCCACAGACTCCACAGTCTACTGGTAGTAATTCCATGACAGAAGTGCCAGGCGATTTGAAGCCCCCAACACCAGCATCAACACCTCATGGACAGATGACACCTATGCAGGGTGGCAGGTATGAAAAGGGCTTTGCTTCATTTTTTGTTGGGCTGTACTTGTTCAACACTTTGAGCCAGTCTTTCCCTTTCTCAGCTGCTCAGGCACTCAGCTGATTCTGTGGTGAAGTGGTCAGAGCCTTAAAAGCTACACAGAATTACTTCTTTTTGGAGGAAGGTGTTGGAGCTGCATTAACTTTCTAAAGAGCAGAGTAGGATCAGATGAGCACCAGGGCAAAGGGGGGCATGTGAATACATGAACAGGGGGTAGAACCCAGCAACACCAACTTAGAACTGCAACCTTCCTTTCCTTGCTTACCCTGTCCTCCTCCGGTATATAGGTCATTCATGCTCAGGAAGGAGGAATGTGTGGCTTTAAGGTGTTACTTATGAAAAGTGTATATAATAAGTGGTTGAGATAGCAGAGGATTCAGCTGGACAGGCCAAGAGATCCTATTCAGTTCTGTGTCCTGTAGGTCACACAGACCAGCTTAATGTGAAGTGAAGCCTTCTCACCATTGGTTAAGGATCCTTTTGCCCACAGGAGTCCAGCAAAAGAAGTTCTTGTTAGGAACATAGCTGAGGTCTGAATTACATACAGGATCACTGTGAATTTAACATACCTAGGTTCTTTTTTTTCTCCATCTGTTACACTGCAGAAAGGATAACAAGAACCTTTTTTAATCATCTTTAATTCAGACCACGTTTTCTTTCGCATTAAGAATAAATCTGACAGCAATGAGGAAACTTCATTTTCCAAGCCAAATTTTTAAGGGTTTTAGAATAGAGCTGACTGCAGCCATAAAGGTTAGTGCCTCTCCATAACAGTAAATGGTATTTGGGAGGTAAATCAAGTGTTGCTGTTTAGTCGTTCCTCTAGTAGGAGAGCAATGGGGTGCTCGGTAAATTCAAAAGGTAATAAATACGAAACTGATAAAAAGTAATACTATTTTGACACAACATGTAATTAACCTGTGGATTTCATTGCCTTGGGGTAGTGAGGCAAACAGATTAGAGAAACTTCAGAAAGGTTTAAACTTCTCTATGAGTAATAGGAACACGCACAGTTGAATTAGATTAAAACCCCTGATCTTTAAGGTAAGTAGACAGATAAGCTTGGGGAAAAAATAAGTAGCTTTTTTTAATGACTGTCTACTGTGAAAGTTTTTTTTGCATCTTCCTCAGATGTATCCTGCACTGACCACTGTCCCAGCGTCATGGACTACACGTATTATAGTCCAGTCTGTTTTCACAATTCTTAAGAATACATGCTGATGTTAATACCTCCTTTTTCTCATCTGCTAGAAACAGCGCAGTTAGTGTGCATGATCCCTTTTCTGATGTAAGTGATTCAGCATTCCCAAAGCGAAACTCCATGACGCCAAATGCACCATACCAGCAGGGAATAAACATGCCAGATATGATGGGAAGGATGCCATATGAGCCGAATAAAGATCCTTTCGGTGGAATGAGAAAAGGTATTTTCTTTGTGGGCTTCGGTGTTCTTCCCTACTTCTATGTAATCAAGATGTTCTAGTTGTGAGAATGAGATTTTTTTTACTTTGCTGATTTTGCCATTTGTAAAATGGCATCCTTGTAGCGAAACGAGTGCAGTGCAATCGTGTTTCATTCTGATCTGGTCACAATTTTCCCCTCTCAGAGTCACACTTTATTTTAGACATAACAGAATCCTAAAAATGCCTGTAGGAACACATTTCAGGAAATGGCATAAATTCACAGGGTTAGAATTTGTGCAGCGCTGTGTGTTTCTTGAGGGTGGTTAGCTACTCTGCAGATCAGATGCTGGACTTCAGTGTTAGAATGTGAAGTGGTGAAACAACACACGTGGTTGTAGTTGTGCTGAACTGCGAATTCACTGTGTCGACTGAGCAAGTTTTCTAATGCCCTCTGTCTCTGTTTACCTATTTTTCAGAATCGGAAAGCTAATTTTTGTCTCACTTGGACAGCCCCTGACAAAAGGGGATAAACAGACTCGGAAGTTTGTTTATTTTTAGAAAGCTAAAACTGAAATGAATGTCAAACCTGACTCCTGCCCTTTTGGGCACTTAACCTACAAATGGTCTTGTCGATATTGAAAAATGTGCTTAAAATAGATCAATCTTGCATGCCTTGTATATAAGAAAGTGGGAGGAAAGAACACAAGCAGGACTTACAAGGGCTGCAAAGAGAAGAGCACACGGAGGAGGTGAAGTTAAGAAAGTGGAAACTGAAAGGGAGCAAAAGGGAGGATAGGAAGAAGTAGTCCAGAAATCAGAGGAAGAAAGATACATGAACAAGTGAGGAGATGCTTTAAAAGAGATAGTTAATCTGATGTGATACTGTTTAAACCTTCCCTTTAAATCCTTATGCCTGGACTGTGGACACTAGCCTAACACAGAGCAAGGGAAAATTGTCTCTACCTTAGATTGACTTTAGATTTTATATCTATGTGAGTGGGTTTAGTGCACTATGCCATGCATTTCATATCCTGTCAAAAGAGAAATGCCTCTTCTCAGCATCTCCTATGAGGATCTAAAGGATAGAGCCTCTTCATCTATTTGCTTGGGGATTTATATCTGATAATAGTGATCAATGTGCCTTTTCCTGAACCCATAGAATATGCCTGTCCTGCTCAAGAAGCTGCAGTAGGATATAGGATCCTTTCCATGACTAAATTAGGATAAACGTGTGTGAGGGTGTTACAGGAAAAAGAAGAGCCTGATTCTGACAGCTTTGTAATCCAAACTATGATATTTGCTTTCATCTGTTTCATAAGATTTATGTCTCCATTCATATTTAGCATTGTTTGGGATGAAAGGAACAGGAGCAAGTTCATCCTCAGCCACGAAGACCAGAGCAAAGAAGCTGCCTGGTGCCTGATGAGCTCAGTTCCCTAGGATGAGATTGCTTTCCTTGCTTGCAGCTTCTTAATATTAGAACCATCATCTGGTAGTGGTGCCACTTCATGTGTTTTCATCAGACTCTGGAGAGCTTGTCAGACACCAGCTAATTCTCCCTGGCAGTGTTACGGATCTGAACATTTTTTTTAAATACATCATTTAATTGAAAGATACCTTCAAACACCCAGAGTAATATATTTAATTTCCCTTACTGTTGCAGTGCCTGGAAGCAATGAGCCTTTCATGACCCCTGGACAAATGCCTAACAGTGGAATACAAGATATGTATAACCAGAGTCCATCTGGAGCAATGTCCAACATGAGCATGAGCCAGCGACAGCAGTTCTCTTATGGAAGTGGCTATGACAGGAGGTGAGTCAGTCTTAAGGAAAAAGCAAAGCCCATTAGCAAAAATGATCCTCTCTCTCCCCTTCTCATTTTCCCATTGCACCTTACAGAGAACTAGCAGCCTACATTTCCTACAGCAACTTACTAAATCACTGGGAGTCAAACCACTGGTGATGACTGAGTCTCGCTGTTCACAGAGATTAGTAAGGAGGAATTGTCACACCTTAGAAGTCACTCAAGCAGCAGAAGATCAACACGTGGGTGTGTTTGACAGCTGCCTTCAGCTGGCGGCTGGGCTGGACTGGGCTGTGATGGCATGAAATAGCACTTCTGGCCATGTTTTCACCTGAACAGTTGTTGGTGGGTTTTGAAATGCACAGCCTAAGTATGTCTGGTTTGCGGTCTGCTAGTGAATTGCCATTGGAGAATCTGGAGTCTGTTTGAGCTGTAGGGATGCCAGTCTTGCAGTGTGTCCAGCAGGACCCTCATAAGTTTGTCCTTCAGCGAAGTACACAAAATAAATTTGGTCCTCTTTTTGTTTATCCCAGGAAAGGCTTCCGGAGAAAAAAAAAATCAGTAAAATCACTGATTTCTGAGCATAGGTATAGCAAGCAGGATGTTTTGGGAATGTTTGGATTATATTAAGTATTCTTAGGTTTTGCAGCTCTGGCTGTATTCCTGCTTTTACTTTCATTAGGCTGCGTACTTGAGATTCAGTTTTTGTTTCCTGATGGTAGCCAAGTGGTGCAGTGTGAGTCTTTTAAGTGTGACGGTGGAGTAGTTTTTCAGTCAGTAGTCTGAGGCAGTAGATGCATAAAGTAACACGAGTTTGTTCAACAGGTCACGTTGCTTGGGAGTCAGTGAGAGCAACGCTTGCAGAGGAAGGTGATAAGTTAAGAGAAGGTTTTCTTTAAGGGTTGTATTTTCTTTTATTTTGTTGGCAATTTTGGAGAATTGAGTGCTTTTTGCAGAATGAGGTTTCCTTTGTCATTTTTTAGGTTAGATCAAGGGCTGGGTCCTGAAGGCAGTATGGGACCACCTGGTCAAAGCAACATGGTGCCTTCAAACAGTGACCCAAGCATGTACTCTCCTAGTCGTTACCCTGGGCAGCAAAGGTGAACACTGATTTTTCTGTTCGTAATATCTGCAATAAAAAGTGCTATCAGATTCTGTGAGAGCACCTAGGCAGAACATGTGGCCTCTTAGCGTTTTCCTTCTGTTTTGTCTGTTCTTATTTAGGCTTTCATTGTGGGCTCAGTTATTTGGGGGGGTTGAGGCTTGGGTGATTCAGTTGGCTTTTTGTGGCCATAGAGTCAGAGATGTTAGAAAAGTATACCTCCTATTTCATGTATCTCCCTTCCAGCACTAACTAGAACATATTTTATAGGCCCAAGTTCTCCAGAGCAGCATTAAATGACACCAGTTCTTAAGCTGCCACAACTTCACCTGGGTTGTGCTTATCCTGTGGCTAACAAACTGAACATTGAGAAAGTGTTCCCTTAGGTATAACGTGAATTCACCTTTGCTCAGTTTTATCTTATGGCATGAACCATCTTGGACAACTGCGGACAATTCCCATCAGTTATATTATTCTTTGAACTGGCATTAGGTAACTTCTCTCCATGCACATCATAATTTTAGAACATTCTGAACAGCTATTGCTTTCACTCTGATCAGCTCTCAAAAAAAAAGTTTTCTGTGCTTTTGGAAAAAATAGGTCCCATTAGTTCTTTTAACATACCAGGTTTCCTAGTCCTCTGTTTCTCTGACTCTCTCTGATATATTACTTCTATAATTATACTCGAATTGTGGAGGTGTTCGCACTGGTAGTGTACAGAGAGGAATTACTGACATATTGGTCTGCAATAAAGTGGTATTTATCAATCTTAATACCTTCCAAGTACTTCATTTCAGCAACCTAAATTTCATTCACATGTGCTAAAAATATTGCAGTTGCACTGTAGTGCTCCTCAGAGGTCTTAAAGGCCACAGGTAAGTTTCCAAGCGCAATGGAGCTCTGCCCCTTATTTGTATGCTTCATTATGTAGCTTTAATTAAAAATTACATGAACACTAGCAAGATTATGAGTACTGTTTTACTCAGTAATGTTAAACATATCATAATGAAATTTGAACTCACTTTCTGTCTCTATCATCAGACTAACATCATCATTTCACTTTAACTCGGCAGTTAACTATTATATTCTTAAATAATCCAGAAAGTAACTTGCTTGGAGACTGACTTTTAAAAACACAAGAATTTTGACTTGCAACCTTGGAGCTGCACATCAGATACTTTTCCACCTACGATGGGTTCCTGGGGGCTGCAGCTGCCTTTCTTACCTCTTTGCTGACCATACTCTGTCCCTCTCTTGACTGCTGCTTCTAAATCTCTGTTACATCCTCACTGCTGCTCCTTTCTGCTATCTGCTTTATCTCCGTCCTTCCCCTATCAGCTCCAGCAGATCTTATTACATCAGACTTGAGACCATACCACTCTCTCTTTTCACCTTATTTCCAAGTGGCAGATGTCTTCAAGGTGTGAGATCATCGGAGTACTTTGCTTTTGCCAGTGACTTGGAAATTCCAGCAGCTCTAAGTGTTGATTTGAATGCTTCCTTTTTAGGCACGAACCATATGGGCAGCAGTATCCAGGACAAGGACCTCCCTCAGGACAGCCACCATATGGAGGACATCAACCTGGAATGTATCCACAGCAGCAGGTAGGAGAGGGTAAAACAGCTATATTGGTAACATTTGTTTAATAAATGTCACTCCAGAAGTCTGTATACATTCAAAAATTTGTTTATACAATATATGTCTTTTGGCATGAGGAGCACTGTAGTTCTGGTCAAAATCACAGCCCATACAGATAAGCAGTGTATGTGCAGCTATAGGAAAATGTGTTCATTACACTGGAAGAGTGTAAATTTTAACAGATGTTCTGTGGCTTTGGATGTGTATCAAGTTATTGTCCCAAGTTAATAACCAGCAGACTGGGAAGGTATAATTTGTAGGCCACTAAAGTGATGCTGCCTTAATTCCAGAAACAAACGGGAAAGCTGCTTGGCTGGCAGGTTGAAGGGCCTCAACTTAAATGTCACGTAGCTGAGGGAACCCAGCAGAAAACTGTAACAAAGCAAAACAAGCACTCTCAATTACTTTGAATGCCGTGGTGGAATACCTATAAGTGATAGGTATCTTTAATATAGATCAGATGGCATATTCCCCACATGTTATCTCTAGTAATAGTATGGTACAACTACATGAGAGAGAACATTATTAGTGTTAAAAAAAAATTAAACATTTGTACATTCCAGTCTCCATAACTGCGTAGTAACTTTGAAAAAAACAGATTATATTAATTAATACAATTTTTTTGTTAGGTATATCATTAATACCTTGTAGGCAAAATCCCATCTTATAAGTCAATTACAAAACTCCACTGACTTCAATGGGATCAGAGTTTCATCCTGCGTGTTATGAATTCATATCAAGTCATAAAATAATTAAAGCTCAAGTTAGCTTCCAAAATAGAAAGCATTTCATTGTAATATAAAAATTAAACTACAAGCTAGTTTTCAGCCAATTTCAGATAGTCCTTCTCAGTTTGAGATAGAATTTTACTAGGAAATTCAGCCGGGGATGGAACCTGAAAGAGGAGATCTTAGGTTTCACTGTACTGGAAATGTATATAAATTTCAATTTCAGAATTTCTTGCTTATCTCTCTGGTTCATAACATCTCTGAAATAGCATAATCAAAAAACTGTTTTGTTGTTCTTTATGACAAGCATTTGCTAGCAGTCCTGGTGATTTAGTGGGGAAATTGCAAAGATATGTAACGGAACAGTTTGTGATATTCCATGCTAACGTATGCAAGGAATATATTAACTACATGTTCATTTAAGCAAGGAGACAGCTAGGATTTGTAAAAATGTATTTGGCCCTGTCCTTAGTGCTGTGTATATGCTTTGTACAATGGATCCTGAATGCAAAATGTATAAATGGAAGAAAGCAGTGAAGAATGAAGGGCAAGGATCCTGGCTGGCCTCAGCCTCTCCCTCCCACTCCCAGAGGATTCCACTTCATTTAGGTAGAGATTAGGTTGCCAGTAGCATATTTTCAATTTCCTAAATTTCAAAATGGCCCTTTCAAAGATTTATCTACAACCCGAAGGCTAGAGAATGACCTGGGAAGGAGGTGCTTGGAGCATGAACTCCTGGGGCTATTGAAGCACTTGGAACCAGGTTTTTCAATTCCTGTATGAGTGCTCTTACCCAGAGAGCTATTATGCAGCAGGTGACCTGTGTCAGTGTTTTTTTTGTCCTTTGTGAGGCTTCAGAATTCCACATTCCCAGCGGAGAGAGACACACATTGTGCAGCCCCAGTTTCCTGCCCAACCTTTACACAAAGTAGGAGTTTAGGTGCATCGCTGTCCTCAACAAGGGTACCATTAGGTGTGTTGCCACTACATATACAAGAGTGCTGAACTGATTTTAAAAAGGCACATGCTTCATTCCCAAGTGTCCACTTTAAGTGCTCTGAGTCACTGTGGCAAAACAAAACCACCTTTTTAGGTGTGGCAACTGCCGAGTCAGTTCTTAATGTATAAATTGGCCCCAAGGGTGGAATTTACTACAGCAAGTAGTTTATGTAAGGCTGAAAGTCGGTATTACTCAGATAGCCAGACAGGTCTGTAGCAAGTTAAAAAAAACCACGACTACCTTTCATGCAATACGGTAGTTGTGGTTTTATGTGTACCAAAGTTGGAAGATGAGTTTATGAATCCCAGAGCTGTTTTAACTGACCCATATTGTATACATACAGAATTTTATCCAATCTTAACTCTAGTACATCAGTATACATTGTGCAATGCAACTGAGCTACAGTTTCCGGGGGAGCCATAACTTTGAATTTGCCATAGATCATATAATTCACATTTAATTCACATTTTTTGCCTCAGAGCACTCAGTGTGGTCTGAACTGTGGAGCAAACTCCCACAGGTACTAAGGGCCGCTGCAAACCTTACCACCTTCCCCTCAAACTACAACATGTCTGTCTTTGTTCTGCCATCTTAAACATAAATACAGACAAGCTCCTATGATTTAATAACAGCTCCCCCAAGTAAAACAGCTTACCTCACACAACATTCTCCACTTGAGAGGGTGAGAAACAAAGAGGGAATAAACCATAGGTGGCAGCTGTTAGTTACATTGCTTAATTCATTACTGATCAGCAGGGTAAGAACATGCATAAACTATAACAGAACATTTGGATGTGACCATTTGCTGTAATAATCTCACAGTAAATTAAATGTGATTAGGATGATTTGGAAAGAGGGATGGTTGCCCAAACAGGACCATGTTCCTCAGAATTACAGAGAGTACCAAATGCAGCAGAATGTTTTCTCCTACTTTTAAATTCAGTGTGTGTAGCCTATGCCCTGTCATAACATCCAGTGTTTCAGACATGGATGCTTGCAGCATACCTTGTTATTCTGAGAGTTTATTCAGTGCTTGTCTCTTAAAAAGATTCACTGAGTGGTTTTGAATTGTTTTAAGATTTTTCTTCTTAGTAGACTAAGCATTAAAAAGAAGTGAAAATATTTTAGTTGGTGAAGACAGTTGCCTTTTCATGCATGTCTGAAATTATCAGTGGAATTGCCTCTGACAGATGGGAAAGGAAAGGAAAGGAAAAGGGAAAAGGGAGAACAAGCATAAGAAAATGTAGCCCAAGGACAAGTTTCCTTTTAGTATTAAGTTATAAGCGCAGCAAAACAGAGGCTTAAAAAGAAAGCACTGGATCAGGCCTAACTATAGCACTGCGTTCCTGACCCTAGAATGAGCACGTTCCCTCTAGAATAGGTAGCTTCAGCTTTTTAAATGAGCTTTCAGCCAGGGAATCTCTATTGCTGTCTGTGGAGTAAAAGTGATGCATCTTCTTTGCAAAATTTTTTTTCAGAACTATAAGCGACACATGGATGGCATGTATGGGCCTCCAGCGAAACGCCACGAAGGGGATATGTATAACATGCAGTATGGCAACCAGCAACAGGAAATGTACAACCAGTACAGCAATGCTTACACGGGGCCTGACAGGAGGCCCATGCAGGGACAGTATCCATATCCGTATAACAGGGAGAGGATGCAGGGCCCAGGACAAATGCAGCAGCATGGAATACCTCCCCAGATGATTGGTGGCCCCATGCAGTCGTCATCTTCTAGTGAAGGTCCTCAGCAGAACATGTGGCCAACAAGAAATGACATGCCTTACCCTTACCAGAATAGGCAAGGTCCAGGAGGCCCTTCACAGGCCCCACCGTATCCAGGGATGAATCGCACTGATGATATGATGGTACCTGACCAGAGGATAAACCACGAGAGTCAGTGGCCTTCTCATGTGAACCAACGTCAGCCTTCTTATATGTCATCCTCAGCCGCCATGCAGCCTATCACTAGACCTCCTCAGTCATCCTACCAAACACCACCCTCTATGCCAAACCACATCTCCAGAGCTCCAAGTCCAGCATCCTTCCAGCGCTCTTTGGAAAATCGTATGTCTCCAAGCAAGTCTCCCTTCTTGCCCTCCATGAAGATGCAAAAGGTTATACCCACAGTTCCCGTGTCACAGGTCACAGGACCTCCACCCCAACCACCACCAATTAGGCGAGAAATTACCTTCCCCCCAGGCTCTGTAGAAGCGTCCCAACCAGTCTTAAAACCAAGACGAAAGATTACCTCAAAAGATATTGGTAAGCATCAAAACAAGAGCCAAATACCAAAGTAGGTTGCGAGAAAAGGACTTGGATTTTGATTTTCTTTTACATTTTAAGACTATTTTGGCAAATGGTTAACTTTGGTAACTACGATGTGATTGTCTTCACTAAAAATGTAGTAGTAACCTATGCATCAGTGAGGATGATAGGCAAAAACTCACTGCAGACAGTCTGCTGTGAAATGAAAGCAGTAGTTTATATGGAGACCTGAGGTCTCCAGAATTACATTAAAAATGAAGCTTGCCTCAGATTTCCAAATTATATGTATTGAAAAGTCCTTCAGAATGTTAAATCACCAGTATTAACATTTAGCTGAGTAACGCTTTCTGTGTTCTTTTTCTGTGGAAGCCCATGTTGTTCTACTGTGCCCTCGAATGGCCCATTTATTCATTCCGTATTATTTGTCATGTTTGTTTCTCTCTCTATTCTTTGCCAAGTATCTTCTTATCTTGAATTCGTGTTGCATTTCATACATTCAAGTTCTCATACTCCCAAGTTTCCACACTCCTGACACAGTATTGTACCTTTATTTACCAATTATTTGGCTTAGTTAACTTATCTTAAGTTTGTACGATTACTTTAGCTTCAGCAATATCAGGCAGAGTGGTCCTGACAAGATACTCTCCGGTATTAAGGCTGAGCAGTAGTTACAGAAAAACTGAGCAGGACTAAGTGGTGAAAGCAGGGTCTTAACCGGTGTTTCAATAACTATTTCATTAAATTCTGCATCCTCAGAATGTCACAGTTTAATCTTTCAGAACTCATTAACCATCTCTGAGGGTGCACTAATACTGTTTTACTTCTCCCTTCCTTCTCCAGTAACTCCTGAGGCGTGGAGAGTGATGATGTCTCTTAAATCTGGTCTTTTGGCTGAAAGTACCTGGGCGCTAGACACTATTAATATTCTTCTGTATGATGACAGCACTGTCGCTACTTTCAACCTCTCTCAGGTAGGTGGGAAAGCAGTATACTTCTCAACTTTCCAAAGAAAACTGAAATAAGATACCTACAGAAACACTGAAGTCCTTTAAAACTGATTATAATTAACACAAATTTGAATATTGTGTAAGCTCCCTTTCTTATGACTGGTAACACTGAGCAACAGGAGATATCTTTAGGTTGAATAATAAGGGGAAATGAGAAGCCCAGAAGAAGGGTATCTCTTGTAGAAATACAAGAATTTTAACACCAACAGAAGACTAATGCGTAAATTGACACTCATGAAAGTATACAAGGGCAATCCCAGAAAACAGCAATATGTTAGTAAACTTGCTTAACTTGTGTTTCCGTAAAAGGCTTTGCAAAACTGTATTAAATCGATTTGAGGCTGTCTTTTGGTGACTGCTTGTCTTATTCAGTAGCTCCATGCTAGGCTGTGGGATTTTTTTTAATTGCTGATTTTCTTTGTTTTCTTCTTCCAGTAAATTAAGTTTGCACAGAAATATAAGACTGACAATTTAAAGGCTAAAATCCACTCTCTGTCCAGAGGATGCAAGTAACACAAGATTTAACAGTGTGTGCTTTTGTCTCACTACTGCCTGGCATTTTTCAGCCCTCCTCTAACCATTGGCCTGTTAGGTGATAGTAATAGATGACATGCTGATAATGCACATCATCTAAAATTTGTACAGATTAAATATTCAGTTTCTCTGCTCCATTCATTCCTTGGTTACTAATAGTGTAACTCATCATTTTTTAAATATAATGACCTTTTATTTTAAACACAGACACAAATGGTACATTTCCTCCCACCTAACTTTAGAACCAGTGATATCTATAGCATGATTCATCTCATCCTGAAGCAGAGATCTAAAATAGGTCAGATGAATCACACCCTAGAAATGGCCTGTAAAAGACCATTGCTCATAAAAGCAATCTAGAAAATTAGGTTAGGTGTGTAACTGTTGCAGGTGTTTGAAGTTAAGTGAGGTGAATCTCCTCTGAATTTGATTAGAAGTTGCATTAATGGCACCCTGTGCAAGTTGCACAGAATACTAGGCGTATTTTAAATATGTAATTTTTTTCTTACTTTTGCCTTAGACTTTTGCAGTTCCAATGGCAGTCAAGACTGCATATGATGACTGATAATTCCTGCCATTCATAAGCATCAGTTTGTTCTTAATTCTTCAAGGGTTTGGCAGTCATAAGAGAATACAGAATGGACAAAAGGATACATTTGGCTGAAAACCTATTAGCCCATGATTTTAAAAAAAACAGTCAAAGCTAGACAATCAGGCTGACTACACTGAAACAGCAAAGAATTTTTAATAATAAAGCCACTGAGGATAGATTAATACCAAGTCCAACTACTGCCTTTCTGCAAGAAAGTGATTACAAGTTAATTAAGAGGATTAAACCTGAATGAAAACTGTTTCTGAAGGGTGACTTAGAGCACCAGGCTCTGATAACCATTTTTAAATATTGCCAGGCAAAAATGAAACTATTTGAATAGAGAGGAGATACCAATCTAGGTATGTCAGTACCTAGACCCTGAAGTGCAGTTTCCCACAGGACGCTTGGGTTTAGGGACTGAAAGGCAAAGGAGAAGCTGAAGAATTGTAAACTTTAGGCATCTAATAAAAGTACAGGTCAGAAAAACTAAATGACTAAGAAACTTCAGTACAATGAAGAACACTAGACGCTTCTGGGGGATAGAACAGCTAGGCTAGCTGTCTAGTGTAGCTTTAAGGAGATATATGAATAAAGTTCTTTACTTCTTCTGGCTTTTTACAGTTTAAGCAAATGGAGCCATGATAGTTTGATATTATATCCTGTTTGGACAGACACTAGAAGAATTTCCTCTGATTAACTGCAGCCTTGCAGGACCTAGCCACAAGTCCACAGCAGGAGGAGGGAAAAATTCACAGATGTATGCATGAGTGTTCCTAGTAGAATTCCATGCAGACAGAAATATTTATCTGATTTTTTTTATGTTCTTTCTTCTCCCCTCAGTTGTCTGGATTTCTTGAGCTTTTAGTAGAATATTTTAGAAAATGCCTGATTGACATTTTTGGAATCCTTATGGAATATGAGGTGGGCGATCCAGGCCACAAAGCACTTGATCACAAAGCAGCCAAGAAAGATGATAGCCAGTCCTTGGCAGAGGATACTGGAAAAGAGGAGAACGACGAATGTATTGACTATTTTGATGAAGATGAGGAGGAGGGAGAGGATGAAAAGGTAGAAGGAGAAGAAAAGAGCATTGTTTTTTCCACTCCTGGTGCCATTGCTGATCCAAGTGAGAGGCCAAAACAAGCCAGTAAATTTGACAAGCTGCCAATCAAGATTGTAAAGAAAAATAATCTATTTGTTGTTGACCGATCTGACAAACTTGGACGCGTTCAGGAATTTGATAGTGGACTTCTCCACTGGCAGCTTGGTGGTGGTGACACAACTGAGCATATCCAGACTCACTTTGAAAGCAAGATGGAGATTCCTCCACGCAGGAAAGCCCCTCCTCCCTTGAACTCTCCAAGCAAGAAGAAGGACCTTGAGGGGAAAGGTGAATCTGAGGAACAACAAGAAAAAAGTATAACAGCAACCATTGATGATGTCCTCTCAGCTCGGCCAGGAGCACTGCCTGAAGACTCAAACTCTGGTTCCCAAACAGAGAGCAGTAAATTTCCTTTTGGGATCCATCAAGCCAAAAGCCACCGAAATATTAAACTGCTAGAGGATGAGCCAAGGAGCCGGGATGAGACTCCTCTATGCACCATAACTCACTGGCAAGACTCCTTGGCCAAACGCTGCATCTGTGTGTCAAATATTGTCCGTAGCTTGTCTTTTGTGCCTGGCAATGACACCGAAATGTCCAAACATCCAGGCTTGGTGCTGATCCTGGGAAAGTTGATCCTTCTTCACCACGAGCATCCAGAAAGAAAGCGAGCGCCGCAGACTTACGAGAAGGAGGAAGAGGAGGACAAAGGGGTGGCCTGCAGCAAGGATGAGTGGTGGTGGGACTGCCTCGAGGTCTTGAGGGATAATACATTGGTCACATTAGCCAACATTTCTGGGCAGCTAGACTTGTCTGCTTACACGGAAAGCATCTGTTTGCCAATTTTGGATGGCTTGCTGCACTGGATGGTGTGTCCGTCTGCGGAGGCACAGGATCCTTTTCCAACCGTGGGGCCCAACTCAGTTCTTTCGCCTCAGAGACTTGTGCTGGAGACCCTGTGTAAGCTCAGTATCCAGGACAATAATGTGGACCTTATCTTGGCCACCCCCCCATTCAGTCGTCAGGAGAAACTCTACGCTACTTTAGTTAGGTACGTTGGGGACCGCAAAAACCCGGTCTGCCGAGAAATGTCCATGGCGCTCTTATCGAACCTTGCCCAGGGGGACACATTAGCAGCAAGGGCAATAGCTGTGCAGAAGGGAAGCATCGGAAACTTGATAAGCTTCCTGGAGGATGGGGTCACTATGGCCCAGTACCAGCAGAGCCAGCATAACCTCATGCACATGCAGCCTCCACCTCTGGAGCCACCTAGCGTAGACATGATGTGCAGGGCAGCCAAGGCCTTGCTGGCCATGGCGAAAGTGGACGAGAACCGGTCAGAGTTCCTTTTGCACGAGGGTCGTTTGCTGGATATCTCAATATCTGCTGTCCTGAACTCTCTGGTTGCATCTGTCATCTGTGATGTACTTTTTCAGATTGGGCAGTTATGACATAAGTGAGAAGCCAAGCATGTGTGAGTGGAGATTAGAGGGTCACATATAACTGGCTGTTTTCTGTTCTTGTTTATCCAACGTAGGAAGAAGGAAAAAAAAAAGAATCTTTGCTCCTCTGCCCCATTCACTATTTACCAATTGGGAATTAAAGAAATTATTAATTTGAACAGTTATGAAATTAATATTTGCTGTCTATGTGTATAAGTACATCTTTTTATTTTATTTTTTTTTAACCAAAGTTGCTGTCTAGTACATTCAAAGGTCACACTTTTTTTTTTCCATAGATTATCCTTTCAATGTTCTTTTCCATGTTTGTATTGCATATTTTTTGGGAAGCGAACTAGTGACTTTTTAAAAAAAATGTTATGGCAAACCATTGTATGATGGAAAAAAACCTCACCACTTTGAAACAAAAAGGTGAAAAATAACCAACATACCAAGTTCCTGTGTGTTTTATTTTTTCAAATAAGGAAAAAATAAAAAAAAACTTGTATACCATCACCCAAAGCTCTGTGCAATAGAAGATTCTAGTGATGTAGGTGTAGGGGATCAAGGAGGGTGTCAGTCAGTAGTCAAAATACAAAATGATACTGGTTTCTCCTCAGGAGAAATGGTTACATTAGGCTAGGAGCAAAACAAAACAAAAAAAGTTAAAAGATTTTTAAACAAAACCTGATGATAAACATCAATTGCTTCCTCACCAGAACTGTCTTGTCTACATCTGTTTTCTTTTGACCTTCCACAATGACAGTTCTTCACAATTTCTTTAATCATTTTTTAAAATATTTTTTTATTGCCTAAGGGCCGTGATGTATATAGAAGTTGTACATTAAACATACCCTCATTTTTTTTTTTAGTACAAAGTTTTTAGTTTCTTTTTCATGATGTGGTATCTACAAAGTGATAGTAGAATTATTTTTTTCTTTCATTTGGGCCATATCTCCAAAAAAGAATAAAAAAAAAGAAAAAAGAAAAACCCAACACAGAAAACCAACAACTGAGGGTAATGTACAAGTTTCTGTATGTATAAAGTCATGCTCTATTTCGGGAGAGCAGCCGATCACAATTTGCTTTATAAGTCAAGGTGTGGAAATGGTTACGTATGGATTGATTTAAGAAAATGGTTACCAGTCTACAGACAAAAAAATATATATACAGGAAAAAAAAAGGAAGAAACACAACTTCAAAGATTTTTCAGTGACAAGAATCTGCATTTGTATTTCAAGATAATGTAGTTAAAAAAGAAAAAAAACTTGATGTAAATTCCTCCTTTTCCTCTGGCTTAATGAATTTCATTTATTCAGTATAAAATCTTTATATGTTCCACATGTTAAGAATAAATGTACATTAAATCTTGTTAAGCACTGTGATGGGTGTTCTTGAATAATGTTCTAGTTGCAGTGTGGGATATCAGAAAGCAAACTAATTACAAGAAAGAGCAATAATGATTATTCTCTTCCCCTACTTTATTATTATGACCTTCAAAAATATTACACTATTGTATTGCAGCAACTTGCTCTCCTTTTAGAAGAGCCTTCTCGCATCACAGAGAAGTGTTTTTTAATTATTATTTATAGAACCACGAAGCCTCAAAAGAGGAAGACATGGCTGCCAAGTGATAGTTCTGACTATGCAGGTATCCAGTCTCCATGCTGCATTTAGGGGACTCAAGATGGATGTTGGCAAAAGTGAAAGATTTTGTTAAAGCAATAACCAGCTTGGAAGAAACTGATCTGTATTCACTTCCTGTAATTCTCTCTGTTGGTTAAAGGCGCAAATACCCCAGTGATGTGGGTATTTAGAATAAACACCCACCCACCCACTTCTCAATCCTGTATGTGTCATTGCATACTTACATGGCCTCTCATCCTGGGAGTCCCCCATTACAGTGGATCAGGCTTTAATAGAGCACATCCATCGTTATAATTGGTGGGAGATGGCCATTTCAGTTCCAGGCATTAGCTGATTTCGGATACATCCACGCTCACCTGGTGATATCTTGTTGCTGAATATTGGTCAAGCACTAATTTTTGCTATTTCATCTTGGGTCATTGACTTTTTTAGTGTGAGCATAAAAAGCTAATAATAATCAATTTCCCTAAAATTGCCACATAATTACACTGTTAGTGGATATCCGCCTCCCCTCTCCAATAACAACACGGAGGTACTTGAAAATTACAACCCCTCTTTGGCTACTGCCCGTCTTGTTCATATAGATTGCTGTAATATTAATATATGTAAGAGAATTTCAGAGACAGGTAAAGTACATACAATTATAAGCCCAGTTTAAAACGTGACTCCCTCATGCCATGAAAAGTAATTTCTCCTCTGGCTTTTCTTACTCAGTAACCTCTCCACTCCCACATCACCTGCTGCAACAGACGTTCTTTCTCTTGCATATCACTGCCCTCAGAAATAATGCGGTGAATTATAACCCACTTGTAACTTTTCATCACAGAAGGAGGCATATTTCAGGGATGAGTTTTACAGCTTAATACTGGGCAGGACAGAAGTAGTATCCCCTGCTAAACTTATCTCTTAGTAACATTTTACTGCTTGATATTACCCCATGGATAAAAGCAAGCTGTTAAACCCTCTGCTGAGCAATACTCACCTCTTTCTTGTCAAGGACCAGAAAGGACATCTATTCTCTTTCCTCTTCAACACCCAGACCCAGAATCCTCTGGGGGAAACTACACCTGTGGCAAAATGCTGTGAGCTCTCAGAAGCAGCGCTTTAATGTTATTCAGGACTGCTCCAAGCCTTGTTAAATAACGTGGTGGGGGAAGAATACACCCAGCTGGCCAGCCAGCCACATCATGTCCTTATGGATGTAACATTGCTGCCACTTCTCCAGTTGGGCCAAGAACTAGCTGGGGAACTGGGAGAGTGGAAGGGAAAGGTTAATAATACAGATTCTGCCTGAACATCATTTTATGCTGTTACAGTAGGAGTAAATGATCTACATCACCGGTTAGCATTGCAGCACATTTGTCAAAAGAAAGGATGGCATAAGAACTCCAATTCCCTCTGCTGTCTACATATGATTTCACCTCTCCCGCAATGTTCTCTGAAGCTTTTGGAGAAGACCTGCTTATGAGACTGGGGAACTGAGCATGTTCTGACTGAACCCTGAACAAGTTTGAGCTGCTGCTAGTGTTATTCCTACAAGAGGTATTTTGGATTTCAGTTTAAAAAAATAAAAATAAAAAAATCTACATTTTTGTGCTGATGCGGTAACAGAGACTGTAGTGAAGCTCAGAGCAGTACCAACAAGGTGGCGCAATATGTGAAAGTCTAAAACTACAGTAAGTTATATAGAGAGCAGCCAATTAGTATTTTAGGCAATACCAAACATAAATATTTGACTAATGCATCAATAACCTACTTGTTTCTTTGGCAGGCCCAAGCAACTAATGACCTTTAGAATCACTTCAGGAATTAAAAGACCACCTACCTCCTTTGGGAGGATAAAATGGTTTTGTTTCTTGTTAATTTCCTACACTATCCTTTAAATAAAAAAATAAAAAAAGAAACAGAAACCACACCATCCTGCTCAGGAACAACACATGTTCAGCTAGCAAAAAGGAAGGATGCAGAAGAAAAATTCATACACATGGCTTAGCACTTTCTCTTCCATCTTCTTTTACTTCTTTTACACCCTAATCGGTGAACTCTGTGCCATACATCACTAGTGTGAGACCATTACCTTTTTGGCCTGGATACATGCTGAAGAAAGATTTACTTATTACTCAGAAAAATATTGTAGCAAAAGCATATGCCCATCTTTTGCAGTAATGATCCCTATACTTTAACAATGCACTGCAGGGTACGCCTCTTATTTTACATATAATATAAAAACACCTCTTGGCAATAAAGAATCAAGTGCAGTTGTCACAACAAAACACTTCCATCCCAACAAGATCCAACCATTGCAGGGGGGGTAGGTTCATTTCAACCAGTGTTTTAACCCAAATGATCATGCTTCCCTCTCATTGTTAAGCTGCTGTTATTTAGTAGCAAATTTAAAAGAAAAAAAAAAAAGTCACTATGTTTTTCTCTCTTTCCCCAGCACAAGAGGGAAGAGTTGTGAGCATCCATAGTGCAGATGCCCAAGCTAACCTGAAACTGAACTGGAACATGGGAACTCAACTGAGGTGGCACACAGCTAGTTCATCCTTTCATGAAGCTGTGTGTGTATTCCTTAGTCTGCAAGTAGTAGTACTGGCATACCTATGAAGTAACATACACCTATTGCCCAAATGCTGCAAGAACACTATCACAAAGTCAGTTTTTCTGTGTTTTAAATAGGAGTATAGTCTAAAATTTTGAGTTCTCCAGAAAGGGATGACAACTTCTGTTTTCATCACCATTGACCTAGTAGTATCAAATACGTGGAAACCACACTCGAACACAAACCCATAAAGTAGTCCCTGTTGCAAAAAGCTTATTTTTCAAGTCATGAACAAATAACCAGAGGTGGAGACAAACAGGAGAAAATGGAAACAAAAGCAACAGTAAACTGAAAAGGCAGGCAGCAGAGTGGAATTATGAAGCTTTAGAACATGGCCCCATACCACCTGCAAATTTAATTTTCTGCAGGGTAATTTGTGAAATTTCCAGGGATGCCCCCCTTCTGTTTTCTCATTATGAAATCTTACACTTTTCATGCCCAATTCCTTTGTCTCCATCCCTCACAAAGTTTTTTTTTAAGGAAAACCGAGTCTGAAGAGAGGAGAGAGAAAAGTACTGAGGGAGGAAAGGGAGAAAAGACATGGCCATCTGGATACAGTGAGGGCCAAACACAAAGATAGACCTGAAAGAAAAGCATCCTATGTCCCTGCTGCATTGTTCTATTTTTACATTTGGGTCATTCCAAAGAAATGAATAATTTAACCAAGCTAGAGGAATGTGGCATTTCATTGGTGGATGGTATAAGGAAAAAGGAAGTAAAAAGATCTTAAGAGATGGAGGGAGCAAGGGAAGAGAAGGCAAAGGAGAAGATGACCCTCCATATGCAGACTGGTAAATTCAGTTTTTACTTAATTACATTTACCTTTCAAATCCCCAAGACAGCAGTAATGGGGAAGGATTAATATTGTCTTCACTGTTAATTTCACCCCTAGTCATTTATTTGTGCACTGTCAGAAATGGGTTTCCAAAGCCTGGCCTTCCATTCTGTGATTGTCAGTAGCTGTGGGTACAGGAGACAGCTGTTCTGGACTGCATACCAAATCCAGCTACTCGCATGCCTAAATGACTTGATTTGTGCTTCCAATTACTTATTCTAACAAAGTCTAAAATATGATTCATTTCACTGCTGTTGTACAGTGTAAAAGCTGCAGGTTTATACTTCACATTGGTTTTAACTGGCCTAATCTAATGAGTTGAAGACCAGGATCCTCATCTGATGCCTTCAACAGAGCTATGTCTTACCCTGCATTTGTTAATTTACTTGGTCTGTCATTACTTAGTATATATCGCATTTCCATTAATTAAGGATAGTTATTTACATTGAAAGGGTGATGGGGTGAAATTGCCTAGCTAGCAGAGCAAATCCCTAATGATTCAGGCATCTCTGCAATGCTTATCCAGGTCTGCAAAGAGACCTTGAAGGACAAACATTCTGACTTTTGCTCCACTATGGAGTATTTTAAAAAGGCAAGTTTATATATTATCATGCCAGGAGAAAAATATATTATTATCTAAGATGAATAACTGCTAGACACATGCTAGAAAAAGCTTGCAGTACTCCATGATGCAGTTCTACTTTACATATAGCAATTTGTTTTTCAATTCTACATATATATCTGCAACTGAGAAGAACAAAGAAAAACAACTAAATCTAGTACATGTTTTACTGGCAAACTATAAACAAAGAAACTGCAAAGTTAACTATTAAATCTCTTTTTCTGTAGGAGAATTTGAAAAGAGAGCATTATACTGGTTGCATCACCACCACAGCAGCTTACAATGGACTCCTTCTAGAACATTTTTTTTTTTAAATAAGAAAGATCACGCTCTGAATGAAATACAGCAATCAAGAAATACTGAGATTCAAACACAAGGCTTCGTCAGCATAACTAGCACTATATATTTTACATGCAGTTAGGGAAGACAGACTTGTAACAACAAGTTACTTGTTATCAATATGCTGTTCTCACCTAAAAAAGTGTATTTCCATGTATTTTTTTATAGTCATGCATGTTTCACAGGCACATATCATAACAGAGTAAAGCAGAAGTTATTCTTCTACTTTGTTCTTTTTTCTCCCCTAATATTTACTCCCTAAGCCTCTCAAGTGGCTTCCTTTCTTTCCCCTAGATAGTACCAAATACAGAGCCCTGATTTTTTAA